GGCCGCGAGATGCGCAACAACAGGAGGAACCGTGCTCATTCGCGCACACGTTTTCAAGGCCGCGCGGCTCGCGACCGCGCCTGCCTGGAAGCCCTAAACCGACAGTGCCCCTGCCGGGAAATGCGCGAAGCCCAAGTAAAAATTCTGATCCCCTTTTCGGACTTGTTCAGACTTCTCTTACTTCTTCTAACCTGATCGAGACAGTCAAAACAAAAAACAAAACAAAACCAAGTTTGTCGAGCAAAACAAAAGAAAAAAGAATTTCGCCACGTGCCGCGGATTCGACGAACAGAAGAACCGCGGAAAGATCGTTGCTTAAACGGAAGAAAAAGGCAGTTTCAGCGTCAAGCGCTGATCTAAATGTATTGGATCTGGTACGCTCTCGTGTCCCTGCTCGTGGCCCGTAATCGAGACGAATGTGCTCTGCGGGGCGTGATTTATGGGGTCTACTTGCACTGTGCTTCCCGTGGCTGTAGGGTACCTGTCTCTTGGAGTAAAATCATTATGCGTAAGCAGCACATATGGTGCCCGGATACGAGCTTTTCCTCGGGATAAATAAAACACAGGTGAAGCGCTGCTGTCCGGCGACACGCATTGTAAATAACGAATGGTATACCTACTGAAAACAAAAGAAAAAGAGCGAACGTTGGGCATTGTCAACGAGGTGCGACATACGGGGATATCTGTCGCCAAAGACTAGACGGGCAATCCTTTATGTCCAGGTATGGCCTTGAAGTCGGCAGAGTTGATTTTATTTAAGCGTAATTGTGTTGGGTTTTAGTTTAGGCACAGGGAAGTTAGTAAGGCCGAATGGGCGTCTGGTGCACCAGCGGCAGATGATAAATTTAGCCGGTGCAGTACAACCGCTAGCCTGGGCTCTTTAACGTGCTCCAAGTAGTAGTGATACACGACCGCACGTCGGAACCATGCTCATCCAGATCGATACGGGCAGGGGTGGGAATATATCGAAGAATGCCTGGGTTCTAGAACGCGAGCTTCTGCTTCGCGTTCTCCGAACTGCGGAGCGTTCGCGCACTTGGCCGCCGATCACCCAGAATTTTCTGCAACTTCCCAATACAAATTCGGATATCCATATTAGACGAGAGAAGTTTGCCGTGCGCATAGGCGTATGTAAATGTGTTCATCCTCTTTTTAGAAGAAGGCATACCCGGGTTGGATAGGGGATAGATGAACGGATTGGATGACCATGGCTGAACCCTTTGGATCGGGCTGCGGCTTGCGCCTATGAGGGAATTGAAGACACTCGCCGGCCCTGGTGGACACGGAACCTATATCGCACCAAATCCTGGCAATAGCTAAGCTATGACATACCCAGAAATATTTGAGCAGTAAGGGCCTGCTCTGGCCTGCTATAGCCCTGATATTACTCTATAAAAATGCAAATTACATGGTCCGGAAACATTTAACAGACATCTCCTCAATGTTATAGAAAAATCCACGCTATTGTTACGTCCAACTAAGAAAGTGGCCAAGCTATTAAGTTTAAAGTTCTGAGTGGCCGGAAACGAGAGGATCGAACTGTGGTACAGACACAGCCCATATAAAAGTTAACGCGGGATCGTCGGCGCCTCCCCTTTAGTCACCAACAAGATGGAAAAGGAGGAAATATGACATAGCTTATAGGGAGTATTCATTGGACGCCATATTTGTGGGTGCTGTTTAAAGCGCATGCTAAGAACTATATAGCTCACATCAATAGGTTGCTAAGACCGGCAATCTTGAGAGTGCAGAATGCACGTTGCAAAAGAACCGTGGATGTTCGCCTTTAGCACGCGCTCAGCATTCGCGCGCACATCTATGACCGCCAGCATGGTCTATTGTTAGTCGCGCATGCTAAAAGCACGAGCTATTTGCTTTGGATGAAGCCTCGGCGGCTGCACAAGCGCTCGTGCAGCGAGTGCTCTAGTCAAAGCAGTCAAGGCTAGCCGCTCGCGCTTGCACAGCCTTCACAGTTTGTCCATGCTAAGGTGAAACGAAGTATTAGTGGAGAGATGTTTCGGTGGCGCCCTCGTTTGGTTACCTTTCGTGACGTCATTACCTCGTAAAGAACAAATTCGATGGTGTTTGTAATGGGCATGGTGGAAGCCTGAAATCATAGCGCTCTCAAAGCAACACTGCCAACACCGTCAAAATTGAAGTTCTTCCATTACTCTTATTTCCGTCGATGAGACATCCTTTGCTGACGTCATAGTCAGCATTCGGCCAATTGTGGTGGGCCGACCACAGCGACGCTTTCGATCGCTCACGTCGCCAATAGTTATCGCCAGGTTTTGGTCTGAAATAGATCCCATGTCAACCAGGACCATGGCGTCCGAGATTTTTTTCGCACTCTGCTCCTGCCTGTCTAAACGCTCTGCTGCCCAACAGAAGAAAAAGAGCCGAGCCAGTTCTCTAGATCTCCGGATGTGGCGCTTGTAACAAAACCACAAACGGAAACAGAATCACCTCCAAGCACTCTGTCAAATGTGAGCCCGCGGCATGAAGCTTAGATTTTCATTGTTCTCATCATCAGAATAGAGGCAGGTAAGTTCATCTCGATCTGTTGATTCGTAATTTTTATTGGCGGTGCTGGTCTTTGCGCTGTTTCGCTGGATGATACCTCAAAAAAGAAAATTTAATTCGAATCAAAAAAGAAGATTGTCATTATTTGTTTTTATACAGCAGGAGTTTAGTCTGCCAGAACATGGCGACATTGCTACCCACTCTAGATGAGAAATTTAGCCAGTGCAGTACGACTGCTAGCCTGGGGTCTTTTACGTGCACCACATAGTAGTGATACACGACCGCACGCCGGTACAAATCTATTGATCGTGGAAATAGCCCGAAAACAAGAGGATATAGACAAAGAAGAAACATGCGAGACGAGCGCTGACAATGAAAGCTCCGCCTTCAGCGCGAGCTCGCTGGCTTCCGCAGTGCTTTGGTTGCGAGTGCCTGCGCGTTCACACTTGTGTTAACAAGGGCAGAAAGCTCGCGCTGAAAGCGGAGCTTCTGGTCTCAGCTTAAAGGGGCCGTGAAACGAATTTTGGGTTGGGATGAATGATTTTAAATTGGGACTTTACTAATCGCATATCGTTCAGTTGGCCAAAAGAAAGAAAGTGGAAAGTCAAAAGCCAGCTTTTCGGCACGAACATTTGAAAATATAGCGGACTAATTTGTACCTTCTTGCCTTCGAAAGCTCTCCACCTTTTCAGTATGATACATCCGCGGTTCCAAAAGCGCGTCACCGGCGCCAAACTGACGTCAGCAGAGCCCAGCTCACGCATTGGACACGAGAACTGCGTCACTCGGACGTATGCGCTCGTCAACAATCAATCCGTCGACGAATATTTGGATTCGCATTCGTGGCCAATGAGTGCCCTGACGGAACTTATTGTCACTGGGGAATGACAAGTTCTATGGTGTGCATAAAAAGCACGGTGGAAGCTAGGAGTCATCGCACCGGTGCCGAAGGGATGTCACTACCACGTGATTTCACAATTCGCATTTGAGTTGAGGATTAAAGCTAGGGAGGGTGGACGAAGTATATATAAAATGACGATTTTTATTAGAAAAACGCACGAAAACGACACTTTATTCTATAACAGCATTACATGACTATGACACGATGAATTCCCACCCACTCGCCCCAATATCCATTCTTCTAATGCAAATCTATATCTGTCCTGCAGATATTGTTTGGGCCGGCGGAACAAGCACTGATGTATTCTTTGTCGTCATGCATGAGAATCGCTTTCTGAACGTCACTTGCGTGCACGGACATTTGTTCTGCACGTTTCACGCTTTGAAAAGATGAACCTTGGAATTTCGAACTTCCTCCTTGCCAAAGGTGTTGCGGCGAGAGGCGGGGGGCACATTTCGGCGCTCCTCCTAAGTTCCGTAGACCGACGGTAATGGTGATGTTCATACATCGCGGCTATTCCTTTGTATTGTTTGGTTTTGGTTGCAAGCGCCACCAAGCGCCCCACAGTAACAGTTTCTTCCGGCGGATGCAATAGCCTGAGGAGCGCAGCCAGCACGCGGAAAATCTCGGAGGTCTTGCCAGGACCTGCGTGTATCTTCCATGCCCTCATAGGTGGCGCAAGCCGCAGCCCGATTCATTAAATTTCAGCCATAGTCATCCATCCGTTCACCTAACCTATATTCATCCCGGATATGCCTTCTGCTAAAAAGAGCATGGACAATTCTACGTGCGTACGTCCACGTGCACGACGAACTTATCTTTTCTAAAAAGAATATCCCAATTTTTATCAGGAAGTCGCAGAACATTAACAACTGAAACTTGTCTCTCGTTCTCCTCCCATCAGCGGTTACAAATGGCATAGATTATAGATGGTGTTATAGATGGATGGGATTATGGATGGATTAAATATGATATTTAGATGCCATATCAGAGATTATAGATGGCAATGTCTCCCTTCGACTGCTATTGCGTGTAGAGGAACAACTGACGCGTGTTCTGAAAGGGAGGGATTATTTCTAAGTGATATTTACTGGAAATACAACAATTGTACTTTTCCTTAACGCATGAAACACAACGTAAACATTGTAATCAGTTATATATGAGGTACACAGGGCGACACTGTTACCGCGAACAAGCGAACGCCGGTTTTTCCAGTTTTTCTCTTTGAAACCAAGGGATGTCATCCAAGTTATTATTAATACGGAAAGAGCTCATTTAAATCTATAATGTAGGCGATAAAACTTCGTGCTCGCTAATACTATTTAGAAGTAAAATGCGAAAATGCGCCGATTTCGTGTTCGCGCTAACAGTGTCGCGATATTTACTTGGAGTTACTACTAGTATTATTTGTCATGTGACTTCTTCGGTTTGTGCAAAGTGTGTGTCATGTTCAATTACACGCAACAATCCTTCCTTTGCCGATTAAAGTTTTTTTTTCTTTCTTCTCCCACTTTTTACGTTGTTGCCTGCAAGCCTGTTATTGAAAATCCGCCATTGTTTTTTTTTTTTTTTGCAGTCGTCGTCACGGTGCTAATCGCAATGTTCTCCGCTCTGCCCCTCCTCATGATGATCATAGGTGAGTAAACGCAACTTATAGATATGGCCGACAAGCGACCGTCGTGCGCAGCTGTCACTCGACGTCCATCGAACGTCGCATTCGAATACATTCGACGAAAAGTCAATCTTGCCGTAATTCGAAGGCAAAGGCTGGCTCACACATTTGCGTCCAAGATTTGACCGATCGCTTACTGCAACACGTCCTATTTGCGCACAGCTGGACTGAAGATTTTGCAGTAACTGTGATATTGAATCTACCCTTAAAAAACGCCACTTTTATTATTTGGCAGAATTATTTAAAACACGAGGGAAAGTAATGATTTGTAATATTTGCGCAGATCAGAGGAGTTCCAACGATACCCGATAGATGGCGTCAGGGTGTTCTCTTGTCCTAGCCGGTAGCAGACGGCTGCACAGCAGTCGATAACATTGAAACACAAATATGTGACCCAGTCTTAAACGTACAAAACTAGGCATATATCTACATCCGAAAATACGTGGGATTTGTACAGGGAGAGTGATTTCAGTTAGAACAGACGCATTGAACAAAAGCCTTGAAACGTGTACACTAATGCGGTTTGTGCGGTTGAGTTATACGGCCAGGGGAACTCACTGTTGGGGTAGAATCCTCAGGATACGTCTAAAATGTAGCTAACGGTTGATTCTTAACTTTTAATACACATGGTTACGATTAGAAAGTTGCTGAGCATGATTTTAACTGAGACCATGTATTTGTCTTCACTAAATAAAGAGATAAATTTAAGAATTTAGTTAATCACCCGACTTACCGTGAAGATTAGCCGCCCATATTATGCCCCCAGCCATATAACTCACCTGGACAGGTGAGTTATATTTTGAGGAGGTCTGTCCCAGTTAAAAGTACAACAACCTGCCATGTGCCATGACGCGTTCAATAATATTTAAACACGTTATCGCACGTGTAGAACGAATTTCGTACTAACATCAGGGCAAATTCACCGCGAAATTAAAGGTAGTACCACTGACCGCTGGAGACCGCCATAGCCCCAGAACATTTAACAGAGGCGCCATGGATGCGTAGATTAATACATAGTTCACACAGAAAGAATAAAAACACTGAAATGGACGAGGGACAGACACCCAGAGTTCTTCGTTCATTTCCGTGTTTTAAAGCGAACGCATTAACTGTCCCATTGAGCGAACCGGCGTAATCAGCTTTTGTAGCCGCGGCAAACGGCACCTAAATGCCCCTGTCCGAGGGAGCGAAGCCTGTAGTCTGTAGCAGTGAATTGATGCATCGATGGATCGACTCCCGTTGGCTCGCGCGCGGCATAGTTCCAAGGAACGCCACCCCACTCTCATGGCGCCGCGGCCCGGCCGCCGGTAGAGTAACTGTATAGGCTCTGCTTGCAGAGCCAGAGTATCGCGTTCCTTTTCCTTTCGCCGCCATCTCCGTATTGGCGGAGGAGTAGTCACGTGGGCAGAACTGGATCCGACCTTCGTGCGGGAAAGCGGCCTTCCAGAGCGCCGAGTTTCGGGGGAACATATTTTCCGCTTTGAGTTCGCCAAATATAGATCCTAGACTAAAATCGAACGAACCGAAAGCTTCCTAAGTCATTGAACATTATGTGCGTCAACTGGGTACAATACAATCCTGTTTTTTTTATAACGCGAGCGATGTTTTAGGACATCCGTTTCCAAGGTATGGGAAGCAGACGACATGGACGACGATCGCGTTGATCGCGTCTGCGGCTCTCGCGGAGTGATACGCGATACGCGACCGGCACATCCGGCCTTCTTGGCGAGTCGGCGAGCTCTCGTGCGAAAGGGAGGGGACGGCGTTTTCGTCAGCCGCTGCGTCGTTTACCGCAACGAATTGACGACTTCACTTCATATGCGACCCGCAGGATCCGCGGGTGCGATTTTTGCAATCGAGAGGGAAACAGGAAACGACGGGACAACGATGACAGCGCCTGCGCGGCTCTCGCCGCACGCCGCACTATTTTCCTCACCCAGCGCGCCGCAGCACGCCACAGCACGCCGCCTCGCGTCCGCGCCTTCGCGTCCCCTGCAAAAACCGACCGTGGCTTCCCGCAGTGCTTGGCTCCAGAATGGCACCATTGCGGTACTCTGCTCCGCAAGCGGAGCATATACAGTTACTCTAGCCGCCGGTGGCCGCCGGTAAGGGGCGGTCACCCGGCCGGGCTCAGGCGGCGCGCAGTTTGGAGGAATACGCTATGTATACGAATGCTTTCGCATTCCGACCAACACCACCTGGACAGAACAAGGCCTCCGCATGGTCTCCTCTCCTTCTATGAAACGTCATCAGAGTCGGATCTCGCTAACTCGGGTATCGGGCCCGCGCCCGATCTTCGACGCGCTGGTTGGACACGAGCCCCAGCCGAACACTGAAGCAGCACTCGTGACCAATCCCACGACTCCATCGATCTGACTGTGATGACGCGTGCGGAGGCCTTCTGTCTAGATGGTGTTGATTCCGACACGTTAGCAGTCTCAAGTGTCTTTGTAGTTTTTTTTTTTATTCTTTCTGCGTGAACTGTGGTTTATTCAACGCGCTCCGCTACGCGTACTCACATGAATACGACTGAACCACCTGAATCAGGTAGCTCCACCTAGCCTATGCGGTCGGCGGCCAGTCAGCACGGTCGGTCGCAAAAAAAGGCTACTTTCGAGCGACACCTGCCGCTCAAACGAATGAATTCGAGCGCTGCCTTGCAGGGTGGTCGTCGGATACCCCAAGCACGCGAACAGGGCTAATGAACGCTACCATTGTTCCATAGTTTATAGTATTTATTTTTAGAGCGCAGCTCTTGGAGGCCCGTTTCCGGCTTGAGCGGCGTCGGCGTAACCGCAAGGTCACGTGACTCCCAAGGTCACATGACACCCCCCATGAGGTCAAGTGACCCCCGAGGTCACGTGACACCCCTTAGGTCACGTGATTCCTTGAGGCCGCGTGACCCCCTGAGGCCATGTGACCCCTGAGGTCGCGTGACCCCCTGAGGTCGCGTGACCCCCTGAGGTCACGTGACCTAAAGGAGTCACCTATCCCTCAGTAGGCTTCCGTCCTACTTCTCAAGAGCTGCGCTCTAATCGGGCGTTACACGGAATTGTAAACGGCTTTCATTTCTAATTCTTATAATTAAACATTGAGGATCCAACTAAACTTTATTGGACGATTGCTATAACGGCCTCATCGATAGCTGAGATGAAAAAAATGAAAGACGTTTACAACCAATTATAGCGCAGCTCTTAAGGAGGAGGAGGGAAGAGTACTGAGGGGAGGATATACCCCTCCTCCCTCCTCATCCTCCCTGGGACTCCTCTCCCCTTCCTCCCTCCTCTTTCTCCTCCTCCCCCCCTCCTTCACCTCTATCCTTCCTTCATCCTTTAAGGCTCATCCCCCCTCCTCCCCCTCCCTTGTCTCGTCCTCCTCATCCCTCCTCCTCCACTCTTCCCTTCTCCTCTTCCCCCTCCTCCTCCTGTGTCGCCCGTAAAGCAACCGCTTTAAAAACACAAGCTAGCAGTCATACTGCACTGACTAACCTTCTTATCTATCCCGTAGACCAGCATCGCCATATCTCAAAGGCAGACCGATACTACGCCGTCTAAACACGGACGTCGAATTTGTTTTGTTGTTTAGAAAACCTTTATCTGCACAGGTATCACAAGAGATCAAGATGCCCTGGTCACTCTTTTGCGTAAATAGCGATTTACAGCCAAACATTTAAACTTTGTCATTTGCTGAACGCGCTCTGCATATCGCGGAGACTGGCCCACCGTATGCTCTGTGGTTAAGCAGAAGTGTAGCATTTTTTTTTTCAAATGTTCTTGTAGCAACAAAAAACTCAAACAGCATCAAGAAACTTTAACTACGTTCAATAAAATTTTGCATTCAGAAGCCCCGTTGTCCTTACTTTAAAACGCGCTTTCGTAATCTCACCCAACCAATCAAAAACTCTTTCAGGAATCCAGTACCTCCAGGAATGTCCCAAGGAGCCCAACATTCCCCTGTACCTCCTCATCGGAGGTGCCTTCGGACTCATCAAGGTCGGGACGCTGCTCTACCACCAGATGCGACGGCTAAGGTACGAGCGTCTTGACGATGGCCTCGCCGACGGAGACATGGACGAAGTCTGGTCGTCAACGTCTACCAAGATCACCGAGTACGCGCTCACCATCTTCCTGCTCGTCTGGTTTGGCATGGGCAACTACTGGGTCCTCCGGATCTACAAGCCCCGGTTCCAGCCCCTGCTCCACGAGCCCAACAACTACTGCGACAAGACAGTGTACACGTTCGCGGTGGCCCATCTACTCGTGTGCTACGGCGTCATCGCGCTTCTGGTGGCCGAGGTCATCTGTCTCGCGCTCTGCGTCCGCGTTCTGGGAGTCTGGTGCAAAAAGTGAACGGTCTTTTTCTTCAGCCACCTCAACACGGAACCACAACAACGGAACGTTCCAAGAACGTCTTCGTGTCCGGGTTGCCGACGTTGAGACACGGACCCGAACTTGCTCAGCGCCGTGACGGGATGGAACTGAGTTTTGTGCGGTGCTGAAGGTCGACTTCATAGCGGCCGACAAGCGATGTAAAGTCTCGACGATAAGTACCACTCGTAGCGATTGGCCACGCGCTCTTTGTGTACCTTCCCTGTCGCGACAGGCTGCGCCTCGTTAAACTCACCAATACTGCGCGAAAGCGTTACGGTATATCTGCATGGTTCACAAGAGGCGGGCGCGGTTTTCCCACAGGGTCAACAATGCTGTTAACATAAGTGCTATTGAGAAAAAGAAAAGGCCAGCACATTTGCAAGTCATGGCCTGAAGGACCACGCCACGTTTCTATTGTTATTCGATTGGACAGGGTGTTCCGGCTTGGCGAGGTTACCCCACCACCCGTAGCCCAGTATTACTAAATAACACAACTCTAGAGATGTGGTGCGAGCGAAACGCGTTTTCGGGGCGTTATAACAGCAACTTATCCTACAATGGTCGCTGACAGCTTAAAAAACGCAGAGCGTGTCGATTCTTGAACATCTTAAGTTTTCTCCACAGCCAATCAGAATGCAGCATTGACCGAAAAAAATAACGAAGGACCAGTCACAAAGCAAGAAGCGTGGACAGATTAAACCACAACCTGTCAGTCGTCAGTGACCCGAAGAGCACTATTACTCTGGTGCCTGGAACACGTCTCCGACTGGTGTGTTTACCACGTCCAAAAAGATGGTACTCGATTTTCTGCTTAACACGTCATAGAAGTGTCATGCTGTCGCCATTCGCGATCCTGGCGGTGTCCCAACAGTTGTGATTATGTGGCAGACGCCTGTTCTTCTGCAGGTCGCCCTCCAGTGTGGCAGTCCACGGAAGCTTCGGCAGTCAGGAGTTGGGACGCCGTGACGGCAGCGACACTAGCGTTCGCTTGTGCTACTGGCAGCTTCTCGTTGGCATCTCTGCAACCAACCGCCAGGATCGCGATATATGCAACAGCATGACGCTTCAGCTTCTGTGACGTCATTTGTTACCACTTCGGAACAACTTTTGATCTATAAAAGGCATAGGACTATAAACACAAAAGTTGAAGACGCGCTTCAGGCACCATACTATTACTGCACTGAGGTGTAGTCACACATTATGCTGGAGTGAAAAGGAAGGTGCTGACCAGTCAGAAGCGACGAAACGTTGAAAACAGGGGATATCATGAGTGCCACACATCGCAAATGTTACTTCGATGGTATATGCTGCTAAAGGATTTCATGTAACCTAATAACCACACGAACGTCTGAGGCCCTCGTACTAAGGTAGGAAGGCTCGCTACACTGATTCTTTGCGGTGAAGCAACTGAGCAGGAGCGTTTTCGATCGGCCACCTTCCCCACAACTCTAGTACGCTGTAAGAAAAAAAACACAAAAAAAAGGTTGTTATGACGCACCATCATCAATCGTTGCTCACTCTCCCCGATGCCTGCCTTAAAACGAGTGATGCCTAAGAACCCGTTTGATAGCGAACATCCTCCATCAGCCAGCTACTTCCGAGTAGAAGTCGCTATGGTATTTCCTATACAGCTTTTCTTACTGTCATTAAAGTTACTCGTTCCCACCTTCTACTGTTGTATACTCTTCCGATACTGTAACCGAAGTAGAACTGAGACCGCGATTTTCAACATTCGCTCCCTTCGGCAAACTTGCGGACGCCAATTGTTCTACGTTGCAGCGCGACCGAGACGCGCTTGTTTCAAATAAAGACCGGAAGAAGTGCCCTGAATAAAACTTCTCCTTTATTAACTAACAGTCCTGTGTTATTTTGGCGACACGCCTCTCATACCATGATGGACATGGGGCTAGGTGCGTACAAAGGAAAGAAGATTCTTTTCGATGAACGGCTGGATTTTTTTATTCATCCATGCTCTATGCGTTACATCTTGCGTCGCGAAAGACACAGATGCGAGATCGCCTCTGGGCACTGCAGTGGGCCCACCTGAATCATGGCAGCGTCCTGGTGGTGGTACACTTCCCGCATCACCGGCGGAGTAAAGGTGTGACTTCGGGTAAGCGTGAACCAAAAACCACGCCCAGTGGCGTATAGACTTGCAAACAAAGCGAAGCAACTATATGATCTTCAACATTTTAAAATATTATAAAAGTATATGAACGAGACACGAATGTTCATCCACCCTGACTAATACACAATAACACAATTAACCTGGCAGGGTGGAGACTAAAAATTAACATGATTTAAATCGTGATGTAAATTATGCGTTAAATCAAGCCAGTTTTACAATGTTAAATTAAATCAAACCTTCGCCATGTAAATAATACCGAAAATGTATATTTATATACATTTGTCTATCATTTGATGCGTTCTATGTGCCCTTGCTTGTATTTACATCAAAGAATCATCGAGGAACACGAGCGAAAAGAAGTGTTCTCCCCAACAAATCAAAGCGTTGAGCTTGATTTCTACCTTCCATAAGCACTTCGTTTGTCAGCTGCGTAACGTTCTATTGCAACACATTCGGAAAGCAAAAAAGTAAAAACAAAATAATAAAAACAAGATACATTACGTCTGCTCCCTGTGAACTAAAGTTATGGCGGCGTCACGCATGCGCCGAACACTTAAGGCCTGTTCACACGAGCAGCGGAGCGCTACAAGCGTAGCGCTGACCTCGCGCTGGACGCGTGCTGATGGGAGCGTTCACCAGCTTTGTATCGCGCCGTCAAAACTGTTGCTCATGGCCGGCGATAAGCAGTTGACGGCACTTGAGCAGCGCTACATAAGCGCTTCGCTGCATGTGAAGGGGTATTCACACGAGGGAGAAATCCCGAAAATTTCTCCCCGGCACGCGCACCCCATGACGAAAACGTCCGGCTTTTCGATGTGCAAAAGCCTCGCGTTTTCATCTCGTGATGCGCGCGTGCCGGGGAGAAATCCCCGGGATTTCTCCCTCGTGTGAATACCCCTTGAGAACCGGCCTTTAGTGAGATCGGCCCAATTGTCTATACTCTGTTTCGTATACCAAAAGAGCGTTTAGAAAGAACCCCGCTTTGCCCACACCAGGTGTGGGCACTGCGCGTGCGCAGAAACCAAAGTCGGGAGGAGTCAAGCATCTGCGCATGCGCAGTACCGACAGCAGCGCCACCGCAATGGCGTGACGTCAGACAATTGAGTTTGGCTATGCGAAGTCGGACCGCAGCCTAGGCTACGATCCGGCATACCCAATCAAACAGCACCGAAAGTGTATCGTTAAGGAGCCCGTCGTCTTTGTGCTTTTGCTATTCGCAACTTTCACGGCCTGTAGACCTTTTTAGCGATTATCACTCCGGCGAAAAGTGCCGAGTCACTGAGCTGCGGACGCGTGCTCAGCGTCTGATATGCCGCACAACAGAGCTACGGCGCATGCTCGGAAGGCGTTCTACAGTCCAGCAGACAAAGATGGCAGTGCGGACGAGGCGATTTTTAGAAAGGTCTACGGGGGGCTCACTAGTTCCTCTCAAAATAACTGCCACCTGGAAGATCGTCGCAGGACAGCAGTGCGTGTTTGGGTCTGCGATGCGTAACTAATTCTAATTTTGTTGCGTACGAGCGCTATATAGGAGCCTTATGCCGGGGGTCACACTGCTCACAGATGCATCGCATACGAACGGCAGTCTCCAAATAGGAGAGATCGCAATATTCGTGGTTTGAATGCCGTCTGCCCAAGGTTTCACCTTCATTGCCATGTGCGGCATTCGAAGCACGAATCTCGCGGTGACTCGCGTTCGAATCTCTACGCAGACTGCATTCCGCAAGATGTATAGAAGACTGCAAGCATAGCATATAGGGAGTATTCACTGGCGGCCATATCTGTGTGCGCTGCTGCTGAGCGCGTGCTGACGGCAAACTTCCGCAGTCCTTTTGGAGCGTGCATTTAGCACCATCAAGGTTGCCGGTCTTAGCAGGCTATTAATGTGAGCTCGTTCTGAGCATGCGCTCTAAACATCACCCTTAAATATGGCGTCCAGTGAATGCCTCCTATATGCCCGCCGCCGTGTCTCGGCTCGCGCGGGCAAGCATACAAACTTGACAAAGCAACGTCTCGCGCACGCTGCCCATGCCTGCACGTGTGGGGTACCAGCGAATCGCCATGCTTGCAGTTGTCTATATATTGAACCCGTGCTTTACCTTACAGTTCCCCGTCAGGTAGGTGTAAGCGAGCACTTTCATTCTGCAGCCGATCATCCGGGAGCTCGGGAGCGCAACTCTCACACCGCGCTACCACCATCGCTGAAAGTTACGAATGACCGGCGAAATCCCTAATAAGAGCTTCCTACATGTATCGACATTCTTTGAAGGGCCGACTGCGTGACGATGCAGGTTTTAGGAAGAAAATGGCGGCGTACAGAAGAGGTTTGGACAGGACATTTTCGTCTAGCGGAATGTGGTTTGTCATTTCGCTTGGTTGTCGTTACTTGTAGAAAAAGTATCAAGGGCCTTTAGCTAAATCTAACACGCACAGAAAAAGAAAAAAAAAAGACGTACACTTATCGGGCGTTTACTCTGCGGGTACGGTTTAGCCGGGGATCTCAAGCGCGCAGAGATTAGGAGCGCCATTACGATTCACTTTTGTGTTTTCCTCATGCACAAGACCGCATATATCGTCAGCATGCTGTCTGACTTGGAGTGAAACGGAAAGAGTCCACTCCCTTGGCTTTAACTACACACAGGCAAAACTGCATCCTTACTGAAGCTAAATTTGATTATGCTTCGAAACGTAAAGCGTGTCAAGGCGGCCACGGTCAAGGGCTACGTTTACATAGATGCGACAGCAGCGCATCGGATCCAGTTAGCGAATCGGGGATACTTCAACCACAACGTTACATGGATTCGGATCGACCAGTAGCGGCACCTCGTGTCGAACGATCACAACGCAAACC